TGCACAGTGTGAGAAGTAGAGGAAACAAACGCTCTGGCTTGCTTTTCGTTCCATGGGCATGCCCCAAGTGCTAATTGTTATAATAATCCATTGGGTTTTGTCTTTTTATGTCTAGGAATCATCAGTGAGTATAGCTAGTTGATAATAATGCTTCTTCTGACAATTGCTATTGGAAAAATTCTTGAAAAATAACAAAATCACATCGAAAGCAACCTAGCGGCATTCTAGCAAATAACCTTCAAATAAGCACTATCAAACGAAGCTAATCAACCATTTTTATTTGAGCCGCTTGACTACCGGTTTCTCCCAGCTCAGTCTACAAAGGCACCTATTTCAATGCATGTAAGCGTACTAAATATGATTTATGTCAGAATACTTCCAAGAAATACCTGGTAAATCGTGCTTGCGCAAAAGCCAGGTCAAGTGAAAATCGATGCGTAGTCAATAAGAATGTTTTCATCAAGTGATTCGGGTGTAAGCAAGTCAGTGACTGCCTGCATACATACTTTTTTTCAGAATCAAAGACTCTTGATTTTTCAATAGGATTTTACATAACCTGCAGACACGAGATTTCTCAGAAGTTTCGTGACTGGAAAAAGAGCCTTGTTCTGACATGAAGTTAGAAGCTTTTTGGAGAATAATTTTGTAAGCTTTTTTATATCTTCAAAACGGTAGGGGCAAGCCTTCAGATTGTTGAAGGTTTTTTTATGTACCACAATTTTCTACTACGATTGGATAATCTGGCTACATTGAGATTCGATAAAATCACTTGAAGATCCAAGCTCCTTTTCGGAAAAGATCAAAAAAGTAAGTGGCCGCAACATAATGCAGGCTTTTGCTATCTTGCTAACAGTCTTATTCTTTTGTACCCAAGAATGTGGTTCTCATTCCAGTCAAAAGTGATAATTTCAAATCACTCAAATTTGATCCTCTGAAGCACTGCGATCGTTTTCAATCTCGGGTTTTCTTATGTAAGGACATAGTCTATCTACAAAGTCAAGTCTACTGCATTTTTCGCCGAAACTCTTTAATCAAGTCCGTTTAATTCGCAATTCTTGTATTCCTCCATAGGTATATATCTTTCCAGGCTGAGTATTTTTTCCACTATAATTCATTGTCTTTTTGACGATGCAACTAATTCTGCGTATAACTTATAGAAATCTTTTTGATTGTCAAAATTTTTTCGCGCAGCCGGAACCTTTGAGCGATTTCAGTCAAACAAAATGTAAGAGTTAGAGTTCCTTTAAAACTTTATGCTGAATTCGGGTGAAAAGAATGCTTTCACTTGAATCAATCTGAGCTGAGTCAGCCATTCAATGTCTATCGGGCACTTCACTGGATGTGCTCCTCCTCAACAGAGTAAATAGTACCTAGGCTCTGAAGTCGAATCTAATCTACTGTCCTACCTTTAGAAGATGTCCCGTCGTCATGCGATTCGTCGTTACAAACCGAGTTTGGATGAAGAACAGACCAGAGATGCTATGAAGGTAAGGCTCTTGAAGTTTTGGCAAAAAAATTCCGTGTCTAAAGCTTTGTCTGATTAGGTTTTAAACGCTTCTAATTAAGGTTTTAGAAAAATTCGTCCGCAAAAAGTATAGAAATTCCGTACTTGTTGGCACGAACGATTTCGATCTCAACACATCTGAGCTTTTGACACCTCAGCCAACGCCGAGTCGACCTGCTTCAGGATTTCAGTTCCCTCTCCCGAGCAGGTATTCGTACAATCTTAACCCAACTGTCTTTGGTAGATTAATTTC